CACATGAACCATGATTTTAAAAAAGTAAGGTTTTCTAATTTTAAGGCACTTTCATTTCACATGCATAAGTCACATGTCTAGACCATTACGTTACTAAATGTAACTAGTAATGCTGATGTTATTAGTAGATTTAAGATTATAGCCATAACCAGTCTCACATTCCCAAGCAAGGTACTAGGCAGCCATGCAGAGCATGCAAAGAGGGTTGCAGAACCTTCTGTGTAACTCTTAGGCATGCGCTGAAAACATAAGACATTTGAAATTGAAGTGGCTAGGAAAGTGGAAGATCCGTGAGGCTTTCTTTGGACAGAGCGGTGCCGTGTGTCCACTCCCCATCACAGCCCACAGCATGGGGAAGAAATAAGAGCTTTGTTCCCATCAAGACTAGTGAGGGGGCTTCCACCGACCACAGAACTTGCTCTGGGCTCCTGCACTGGAAGGGCAAAGTGAACTAATGGCTTGTACCTGGCAAATCTCAATTGTCAAAAGCTGTCTGCAGGGACCTGCTGCAGCAGAGTTCAGGGTTATAACTGGGAAAGAAACTACTCTGGTGCTGATTAGAGTTCTAAGGTATGTGTGTCCTGTGGGCCTGTGGGCCATACTTGAGAAGATGAAAGGGGTTGCCTGACACCTTGTGATAAAGGTCACTTGGCGAGGCAGAAAAATCTCCTGAGAAGGATGCCAGGAGAGTTCAAAATTGACGGCTGGGGGCTGAGAAAGAAATCGTAAATGGCTAACTTGAAATTGCAATTCTCAGTCATGGGAGGCAAAGGAGATGTCTGTCAGGCTGAGTTAAGAGAGAAGGCAATGGCGGCCCCATTCCACTGCAGGCTTCCTGTTGGAGCCACAGGAGAGGAGACTTTAGTTGGTAACTCAACGTGAGATTATACACTGGGCGAGGCATTTTACTTACTTAACAGAGTCTGTTTTAGAGAACCAAGTGGCTCAAGGTCTTTTCACAATGAGTGTCCAGAAAAGGTAGGGAGCCTGTCTCAGAGTGCGTGAAACTAGCCCCAGAGTGGCATTCCTGAATGATGAGGGGAAATAACACACCGGTTTCCTTTGTTTCTTGTGATTTCTGCTCCTAACAATGCTGGCTTTCTAGATCTTCCCAGAAAATAGCTCCACACTTAGCTTTGCTAGCATTCTTGACATAATTTCAAGCACTTGATAGCTGAATTTCCTAACTTATAGACAGTAACAGGTGAATGGTG